CCCCATCTCAATTTTGGAAGAAACTAACCTGCAGTACATTTATCTAAGCTATCATAAAGTCCATTAAAACATACATACTGCACACGTGTGCATGCATGGCCCACATACATACATACATACATCAATTTTCATGTTAATATTTCAATTTAGTGTCTACAAAAAATATGTTGCCATGTAATGGGGTTTTATTTCATTAAATAATATATATCAGCTGCTTCCTAAACTAACAAAATTCTGAAATGGCAGAAGTAAAAATTATGGCATTACTTGACCAGGCCTACGATTTTCATATATCTATAGATCATAACCATGAGTGAATAGCAAAAGCACTGAGCATGACATACAAATACTTTTTTCCTCCTTCTTGGAAAGAATTTATATATGTTTGACTTCAAACTGTGAAAGAGGGGATTTGAGAAATGTCGTATTACTATATAGCATACCAGAGCCAGAAGAAAGAAATGTAGAGAGAAATGAAGACAGACAGAAATTGGCAAATTTTCTTACCACATTTTTTGTAGACAGCATGTATACAAAGTTATATTTGTCATTAATCTCTTAAAATAAATATATATATGAAATGAAGACTATTTCTCACTGGCTCCATTCTTTTCATCCGTGTTAAATGTTACTAAATAATACTTTGTGAACAAGAGCTGGTATAAATAATACATTAATGGAACTGGAAATGAGACAAGTGGCAGCCATCTTCCCCTAAAAATAGAAAGCAAAAGATGGATGGTTTCCCAATATGATGTATTTTTATTCTTTTAATTGTAATCAATTTATTGTTATTTTTCCTAACGAGATCTTTGCTTTGTTCAACTTAATATTAATTTCAGCCAATATTTACTGAGGCTCTGTTAAGACTGTCCTAGACAATTCGAAGGCCCAGTCTTTATACTTGAAGAATTCCTGAGTTAGTAGAATGAGATGAAAATATAAATGAGAAATAGATTGCAAATATGATGAATGCTACAACAAAAGTACAATATGTGCAAAGGGCTAAGGGACCCAGCTAAAGGGCAGGGCAAACTGTCAGGAGCAAGACTCAGTATAATGTTCCACATTCTGATGAAGAGTGTGGGACCATGAGGAAGAGGCAAAAGTGGCTGCAACAGTAATGAGGGCAAAAAGAGCAAAAGTAGAAAAAAGATAGGAACACTGAAACGGATATAGACATACAAATTGCTCTAGATGACAAAGATGTGCCTAATACTGCAAATACATACGCAAACATGGGCTAGATTTTATGCAGGCACATAGTGAGACTTCCCTTGGGCGGTAGAATGTCAAGGATTCGCAGAAGCAGAGTGGAAAAACAAATGAGTGTGTGTGTTCAGATTTCCTGGAATCTATACAGGGATCCCAAGTTCCATTCACATAAGTAGCGCCATTGATGTAAGTAGAAAACAAGGGTTCCATTAAGGCTTATTATGTGATTTAAATACCCTGGCGCAGAATTTTGCTGCCAAAACTGTTTTAATTATTTATTTTAAGGAAAGTAGTAAGAAATAAGATCTTATATCACCTTTTATATTTTAGCTATATAGTCCAGAATCCTCTTTGGTAAAAGAGTCCTAGGAAACATAGTAAAGACCTTGTGAATAAATACCAATCTATCTCCAAGGTTACATCTGAAACCCAGATAATCAGCAGTAAGTTTCCTTCTTTAAAAAGAAAATTATAGACACTACATATACACAGTTTCTTTAAATAACTTCCTGAAATAAGGTATCATTGATTTTAAAAAACTTCGTTTAGCTGATGTACTTGGTTTTCAAAATTTCACTTAAAAATTGGGAATGACAAGTAAGTTTCTCTAATTATATGCCAACCTCGACTATCTCAACTGTGATCTTAAAAAAAGAAGCTATTTAAATGCACTAAAATGTAACATTTAATGAAGCATCAGTCCAATAATGTCCTCTTATAACAATATTACGGACAAAATTTGTGATTGTTGGTGTTGTCACTGTAAACCGTGATAGTTTTTTTCTTGTTGTTTTCTGGCTATGAAATTCTTCAGTACATGAATGTATTATTAACTAGCATTTTAGCAAAAATATTATCTCAAAATTAACATTTCATTTCTGGGAGGCCACAGTTTTCTCAAGTACTAAATATGAATTTGTAACTCCAATAGATACATTCAAAATATTTGGTATACCTTTGCTGTCACCATCAGCACACAAAACCATGTGGAACTGGATCTACTGGGTCTAAGACTCTTCCTTCAAATTTGTGCCACTTCTATGATGTAATAAATGTGGAAAATATCTCTATCCAAGGCTTTCTGAGTCGGTACATATTCCAGTGAATAAAATGGGAGTTGTAAACTGTGGAAAATAATCTTGTACTTATTCCCGTGATATCATACAGGACATTTTGTTTACTTTTCCATAGAAAATAGAAAACATAAAGTAATAAAAAAAATTTCAAACCTCATTTTAAAACTTAGGTTTACATGTTATCATGTAAAGACATTTTGCAATAATATTAGATATGAGTAGCACAACTAAATGTAATTATTAACATCAAGCCATGTGAATATCATTGTGATAGTTTATTTAAAAGATTATTCAATAATTGTTTCATAAGATTTTATATATCATTTATATCAAACACTAAATTTTTTAAGATGTAAAATACTTTGCCTAAATTCGACTAAATTAAGAATTTGCAGATTTTCACATGTCTTTCCTACAATGCGGTATAGCCAAAAAGATCTTCTTTGAATGAGGTAAGGAGTGCTGTATACATTTTATAAGAATTACTTACAAATGCATCAGCTACAGTTATGTCTCAGGAATTACATATCCTTACCTTTCTGACTCAAAATACCTAAACCATTAAAGAGCACAAATTTAGAATATAGGCTGTGCAATTTCACTGATCTAGCATATATTCTTCCCGTTTTAAATGAGCTTTTCCTACTTCCATCCTATCAACATGTTAACAATTTTAATAGAATCACTTGTGTGTCTACTCCTCTCTCATTTTGCCAGCTAATTAGCCAAAAGTTATATACATTCTCCCACATGATTTATACATCTAAGGTCTAAAATCACTCCGTCTTAGTCATTTACAAAACAAATGTCTGCCCTGTTCAACTTCTATAAATCCCAGCACTCTTTTAACCCAGATCTCATGGTCATGTCCAACAAAAACATTGAGAATCATGCTTCATGCACACACCACAACTTTGCTCAAGTCACTTGCTACCATCCGCAAAAAAAAGGGGGGCTGGGAAACTGGATTCACTTTCTACTGCCATCGGCTATAAGTCTGATGGTAGAATTTCACTCATTGGAGAAACAAGTTTGCTAAATTTTATTCAAGCACTAATAGAACAAATAAATAAAAACTAGTTTCTGGGGTTAATTGTCTTATTAGCCAGCCTGTAACATCGCATTTTCTGTGTGTACTGTAGCTTCTTATTCTAGGGGACACTAATTAGTTTTAAATGGTGTTAAATACCATCCCTGCAGTTGCAAGTGCTTCTTGGGGATTTTTACTGGAGAAAAGAACTCCTGTAATTTAAAACCACTTTGTTTTCCTCAGTCACAGCTGTTAGCGAAACACTGACCTGTAGAAATCGTAAAGGCTTTTCCACCCCTCTCCCATTGCCATTAGTCTGCATTTATCTTCTAACATCTTTTCCCCCTTGTACCACGGCTCTCCCGGAATTCCCATCCCCCAAACCGCTTTCCGCAGAGAAAACGCAGTTAGCTAGTTAAACCCTTCTCTCTTTACCTCTCCCCTTACAACGCCTTGGCTACCCTTAAATAAAATTCTCCAACAACGTGTCAATTTTATATTGGCCACAAAGACAACTTCTGTTGGGGGAGGGTAAGGAAAGAGGCACTGGAGCTTGGCTGTCCCTTGCCACAGACAGGGATCTTTGTGGCGACCAGAAAACACTCCCTGCATAAGCAATCAACACACTCCCTCTTTGCAGGGCTGGGGAGCGAGAACGAATCTGTATCAGACGTGTCCCCGAACAAATGGAACGCATCCATTAACCATCCAAACAGGAAACGAATTTTCTCAAAATATGTCCCTGTCTTGCAGTATTAAACATAATCCCCCATATCAAATCCTCGGGTACCTCCCCCACCGGGGACGGGGTGAAAGCTATAAATCACCCCAGTACTTTCTTCTTCCTCCTCCGCATTTCCGTTGCACTGTTTTCTCCATCTAGCTCATCTCGGAGGAGCTCCCTCTCTCCTCTTTTGTATCAACAGGGGACCAAGGAGCAGGGATAGCTTGTCTCAGAGGAAGGGTCTGCCTGCGTTTCCATTCCGCCCTTCTCCCCCGCCCGCACGCGGCTTCACAGCCTGGGGACCCCAGAGCTGTCTCCTCCAGCGGGGTTCTCCTGACCCCTGAAAGACCCAGCACAAGCAGGATGTATTGTGGGAAGCATCCGAACATCGCGGACCCGCAGGGTTGAGGAGCACCCTTGTCACATGGACCAACTTGCTATTGACTTTGTGTCACCTTTTAGTCCTGAGCCCCGTGGCTGGAAAGGGGTCATGGGTAAGAAGAGGGCTAGAGAGAGGAGAGGCGAGAGGAAGTGAAGGGACTTTTTCAGGGATGAAAGGGACAAGGATGAACACTGGCTACAAACCCCTTTCACAGGTGTCATGTGTGAGTCTGTGTGTGTAGGTTCCCCCAAGGGGCTGCAGCCCAACCCTCCTCACCAAGCTCCAGCGCAAGTTGTCCTTGTGTTTTCCCATCCTGTCTCAGGAATGTTCCACCCGCACTTCCTGGGGCATGTGGCTGAGATCTATCCCATCCTCACCGCCCCGTCTCTTAAAATTTTGAAACTTAAGACTAGGCTAAGAGACCTTTATCAGTAAAGATCACACATCAAATGAATCCAAAGACGACAGTGTTAAAGGAGCAACACTTAGGCCCACGTGTTGGAACAGGTTTTCACTCCATCCCCTGACGCCCCTCCCCCTCCCCCCATCTCCCCCTCTCTTCTGGGCACTTACCTTCTTTGGGCGGTCGCTTGGCCTCTCTGGTAAGATTGCAGACCTGGGTGGTTTGCAGCTCTTGGGTCAGGCAGCCCTCGGTCTGCTCATTCAGGGGTAACACCACGTTATTTAATAAAACCAGCGACTGGTCGTCGATCCCCCACTCTCCCAGATGCTGAGGGCAGGTGCATTTTGTATACATGATCCCACATGCTTCCGTTCTCCCATTTTCTGATTTTAAGCAGCTCTCCAACCAAGTGCATAATACATGGCAACCAAACTGGCTTGGGCTCACCTTGTTCAATACCAAAAACTCAAAAAAAGATTTCTGGTCTTCTTCCCCTTTTTTCTGTAATCCTGGGAAGTCAGTTGGAAATACCCGACGAATTTGAATAAAATTTTTATCATATTGTAGAAAAACGAAAGCATTCCTGGAATCGCAGAGTTGCATTATAGATTGGTTCTTTCTTAAAAGATCCTTTATTTTTTCATGAGAAAAATGATCAAACTGATAAGCCAGGAGGGAAAAGTTAGAGCAGCTAAGGTCCTTTTTGGAAAATTTCAGGTAAATGCTATATTTGGTTGGATCTGGATTTTCCAGTGTCCAAGTGCAGTTTGTAAAGTTTTTGGGAAACATTTCACTTACAGAATACGATCCATAAATGACACCCTTCACCAAAGTTGAACACCAGAAGTCTTGGGCAGCATTAAATCCAAACATAACCAGGAGATAGGTGGAAAATATATAAATCAGCAGGTTACGAACAGCCTTCATCCTATGTCATTTGGCCTGTAAAAATGGCAATGAAAGTAAAATGCAAGTAGGAGTCTACATGCATTGAAAAAAGAAACTCCTCCAATATTACAGCCAGCTGCTTTCAAGATTTTAGTTAAAAAATAAAAGAAAAACCCTTTTTAAAAGAAGGACAGGTAATTTTTATTTTATAAAGCCAGGAAATTATCTGTTGCTGTGTGAACAGCGCCCTCAAGTGGTCATTCACAATAGCCAAATTCTCTACATTCAATTTAAAAATACTTAATAGATTAATAGGAATGCCCTAATTTATCTACCAGGATTTACTCCAAGTGCATTATAATTCTATTGAAAAAAAGAGAAAAACATCACAAATTGACTTTTTTTTAATAGTTTACCCTAAATGTCAATTTTTTAAAATATTTTTAAGCAACCTATACAACCTTTTCTCAGCCTTCTGCCTGCAGTAAACATCATCATACAAAATCTAATCTGATAATCTGGGAACAGCTGTCATCACATTTCTTTTCTCTTAAATGTTAAAGTAATTATGGTAAATGAGAGCCACAATTTTAAAGGCACAAATGATAATTTGTTGCATATTCTCCTAAATGTCCCTACATGGCTTTCAGGGGCCACGGTGGGAAATGATGAGAAATTCCTGTGCAAAAACATTGGCATTCATGTGGATTAACAGAATTTTAAAAACATCATCTGAGAAAGGGCATAGGAGGCTACATACACAGGGAAGACTTGTTTGACATCACACAACTGAGAACCAGAATTTAAAGCAGTCATTTCAATGTGACATGCCCTCTTGGGATATATAAAGTGGATCACTGTATTAGTATCTGTATCGAAAGGTGATGTCAGTGAGAAAAATCCCAGAAACGCACTAATTGAGCTGGCTTTAGTCTTTTGTTTTTTAAATTCAGGCTATTTTATCTATGGTTATCTACTGTAATTTAAGATTTACACATGGAAGATAAGAGACAGAATTTTCTTTCTTACAGACTTCAATTACAGAATTGCTCCCTTTCCAATAACAGCTCCAGAGCTCCTCTTCCTTTAAAAAAAATTGATCTTGCATAATAGAGTAATCCTTGGTTATATTTACCTCTGTAAGTTGTTATCCAAAAATAACTTGGATTTTTTTTTCAGCTTTAACCTTTAAGAAGTTATTTCTTAGAATAAATGACACTGCTTTTTTTTTGTTTAGCCTTTGAGCTGAGAAAAGTGATGCCAAGTTAATTTAAAAAGTCTTTAGGCTGCAATCTCTTCCACTTCTGTAAACAGAGACAGACATACAGAGATATAGATAGTTAAAGAGTTTTCATGTCTTTGCCTGGGTTATCCTCTCTGAACCAAAGGATACAACAACCCTCTTCCTTCCCATTGCATAACACACACTAACACAGGCACACAAAATCCAGTGACCGAAGTCCCTGAAGAAAGATCTGCATTGTCCAGATCATAATTCAAATTCTATGTCTTGATATGGGCATAAACAGCCCCAACTTTAAATCTCTATATAGCAGCAGTTTTAAAATAACGTCAGAACTGCTGGGACTATCAAAACAGTGTTCTCTGTTTCAAGCATACAGCTCAATGAATAATGCATTTTCTTCTTGAGAAAATAAAGCCAATGTGCATTTAAAGGTTTAACAAAACAGGGAAAGTTGTAGGACATTCTGGAAATAATTTCCTCCTTTTTTTGCTGTAGCACTTTGCAGGCAATGCAGGTCTGCGCAGTGTTCTTCAGGATAGAGTGTAGGCGTTGAGAGCCAATGTGACAATAAGTGTCTAAATTAGGAATTCCATCCATGAAAGGGGGCTTCATTTTATAATCGGTAACTCGAAAAGAGGTCGTATTTTTTTTTTTCCCTAATGGAAGCCAGTACTTTTGCTTCCATTTATTTGGCAACGCATGTCTGCAGTGCTGTGCTCATCAAGGATTAGAGTGAGGAAATAGCTCTGATTTCACGTTCAAGCCTGCTCAAGAGAGTCCCCTCATAATGCTCTTTTTTAAAACCATTAAGCCTTGGCTGCGAAGTCTTGTTTGATTCTAGATAATAAAAAAATGAATAACTGTATTCTGCTGCCCCCCCCCACCCCCAAAAAACCCCGAATGCAGAGCCAGTTCAAACAATTGTATTCCCCTCTTCTAAAAATGAAAGACTGGCATGGAGGGTGTCTAAGGGCTGGCCACCGAGGTCTCAAGGATGCTGTTTATTTATTTATTTATCCCCTACTGAGAAGCAAACCGGCGTTTAGTTTAGCTGTTCTCAAAACTGATTTTCTGGGTGACACTTTAGTTTAGTCGAACATAGACGGCGCCATCACTCCACTGAAATTTTCCCCAGTCCAAGACCCGCGGCTTCCCCCTAACTTCCTTTTTAACCTAAAATTTCTCCTCGTAAAATTACCCCCACCGCCCACAACTAACTGTCAGATTTTTCCAGGTCTCCCTGCCCCTTCCTTCCCACCCAGCTCACCTCTGGAAAACCAGACTTCCCTAACTTTTCAACTGCGGCGTTTAAGTAAATGCGGACAGCCGGGTTTGCTCCCAGCCCCTCTCTCCGCCAGCAACAGCCTTGCCTCTCCTCGTCCTCCCTCCGCAAACACCTCGCCCAAAGCTCCTCGGTGGCGACCCCCGGCCGGGGGAAGGTGACCCCGGGACCCCCTTCCTTACCTTCCACTCCGAAAGCTCAGGGAGGCTCTTGCTCTAAGACACCAGCACAGGCACGCGTCCCAGCAACACTGACGGAGAGACTCCCCTTCGGTCCCAATCGCCGTTGCCCATTTTCCCCGGCTCAGCTTCAAAAATCAGGATTTATATATGTATATAATAAATGCACACATATGAGAAGCAAAACATGGGGGAGAAAATCAATAAGGGGGCCGGGTGGGGGAGAAAAACGCCTCCAGGACCCTCGAGCCTGACGCCGTATCCAACCGAGGGCCGGGGGCGGAGGGTGGCCCCCCGAAGAGAGACTCTTAAGAAAACAAACAATTTAAAAAAAAATGCAAGTAGCTGAAGAGCGAGGATTTGTTTTACCAAATCTACACACTCAAGAAATCGATAAGCCAAGAAGCCAAGAGAGCGCTGAGACGAGAAGTGGCCGGCGGCGGCGGCGGCGGCGGCTCAGGCGGATTTGTGGGGCGGTGGGTTTATGACAGGAGTATTCGTGGTCGGATCGGAGGGCTGAAGCTTTTGCCTTTTCCTCTTTCCGCTCAGTCCTCCCTCCTCCTCCTCCCCCCGCCCCGCAGGTACTGCTGGACCGACGGCGACTCGGGAGAGGGGGCGGAAAAAAATCCTTGGCTGGTGATGTCGGAAAGCTGTTTGAATGCCCAGCGAGGACGGAGGCGCAATAGTAAAGCTCTGTCTCGCGTGTGCGCGCCGGCGCGCGGCGCTC